AATAAAATAACATTAAACCTCGTACAAAGAATATACATGATAGATACAGTTCATAGCAACAAGGTCAAATGGTTACCGGTCATCTCGCCACCAACGAACTCGCCAAGCGAAGTCACCTCGCCACCAAGCGAAGTTTCCTCGTCACCAGTAATCTAATAAGGCAGTGGATAAAAGAACGAGGAATAATCTCTATATACGACTGAATCTGGTTGGGGGCAAACTCGATCAAGTTGAGTCGATGTGGGGGCGAACTCGCCATGGGGCGAAAACGGTAGCTACCCAGTTCATCTACAATTCGTCGAGCTTTTGAGCGTTAAAGATTTAAGATCGTCGATGACAGTGATGAAAGAATGTTTTAAGTAGCTTATTTTGACACCCTATGTTGTCTTAATATTGGTTTCAGATCAGTATTTCATCATAAACCAACATATCTAATGCGACAACAGCAGACTTCTCTTTGGGTATCACGGTTCAAATCATTCACCAATCTCTTGGTGTCATATGAGTAAAGAACTCCCACACTGAGAGGCTGTTGTCAGTTTTAAAACAAGCGAAATCATCTGCAACATGTGCGTCAGATAAACTAATGAGACAGTGAGGGACAAAACACACGAAGATACGAAGTACAGACAATAATACACACGACGAAACATCGAACCAGACAACAAGTACAACAGGTCACATAAAATGCAAAGAAAAACAAACTAACAAACTTACGTTGCATTGATAACATAAAACAAAAACNAGTTCCTTTTTTTGAAAGTCCCACTGTGTGACTTGCGTCCCAGCATAATTAATTCCGTGCCATGTGACCGGATCGTGCAAAGGGCCTGGCTTCTCGCTGGCTTCGTCGCGCTCCACGGCTTTGCCCACGATACCCTACCCAAACAGATCCAAACAAGTGAGCCTGCTCGCAGGTTACTCATTTTACGGTAGAACAAATGTACAACCAGCCTTTTAGCAGTGAAAGTTGAGAATACTAGCATTTATTTATGAAGCACACAAGGCGAGCTACCGAGCTAGAAACATAAAAGTAAACAGGAAAGAAGCCAACACCTCATGCCGAAGAGACTTAAATACTGGGGAAAAAAAAACTTGCCATCATCGACACCGAGTCGATTAAAGGTATCTAGCTGTGTATATTAATATAATAAAGACTTTGTACAAACAGAACAAGTACGTACCTCAAAGCTATACTTGTAAGCACCAGTGCCGCGAGCGCGTAGACAGGACGTACAACTCAGAGCCAATTGCCGATAGAAGACGTGCACGCTACTACAGACCGAATATTTATACGTTTCCCAGGTTGATTCCTAAAATAGACCTTCAAGGATCAAAGTACACCCATAATAGTTAACGTGGATTTGTTAACGTTTTGGATGTCAATCAAGGAGGGCAAGTTAATGACTCTTTCAGTTTGTAAATTCTTGCGGTCTCGAGTTCTTGGAAGAGACACTGTTGGTCGCTGTCTCGAGTAGAGGGCCTCCGATTAATTTGAGTCTTCTGTTTAATGAGGAAACTTTTTGTACAAATTTTAACAACCCCAGAAGTTGTGTCAGTGATGGCTAAAACCGTTAACCAGAAACGTGAGGCCTCAGAGGCGCGGGGATTGTTTGAAGATTTGTTGCATTTTGATTATAATTAGTTCTCTCGAAAGTGGGCCAACTTGTGAACAGGAAGAATATAATTAGGCCGTGGGAAAGGACAACCGGAAATGAAAACGAAAGGCGGGAAACATTCGGGAATAGGAGCAAGGATCAAGGGTCTTATGGCTTCGATGGTTTTCTAAGAAAAGGAAACGGCAGGTGTAAATAAACCAACAAGTGTTGATTTTTAAGTGTCTCAAGATATCTGTGAGAGAAGTGATGTTTGTACACGAAAAAGCCGAGAATGGGATGGGGTTACCGGAGTAAAACCGGAAAATGAAATCGAAACATTTCGGGGAAAATAAAGACAAAAGATTCCTCCTAAACAATAACAAATTCTTGGAAATACCGGTAGTTTTATCAAAGTGAGTTTTTAAAATGAAAATGTTTGTACCAGCGTCATTGCTGTTTAGCATCGGGCTAATTAAAATTTGATATTGCAACTTTTCTAAGAACCGAGTTGATTCTATGGGAAAAGCAACGCGCATTACCTTTGCAATTAAAAACTTTCATCGGTATTTCGAGCATGTTCAGCCTGTTATAACTTCTCCCAGAGATGGACAGAGAATGGAAGGGCTGTAGAGTGCTTGACGACCTATGCCAGACAGTCACGCGACTAAGAAACATCTCGGCATACGCCAAAAAAACGAAAACGCTTCCAGATCTTCACTACAAATAAGGCAACTTCTGTCATCAGTGACAACTTCAACCAACAAGTCTTTACAGAGATGCTTGGCAAATGGTAAACTTTGACAAGTTTTATCTGAACGTCACTTAAATATCACTTACTGGCTACCCTTAAGACAGAAACACTTGCTCTATCTATAGTGGGATGGTACAAAGAGTTGAGGAGAGGGGGAGGGGGTATCATCAACTGAAATAGCCTGCGAGCAGGCTCACGTTGGAGCACAAGCGCGCACGCCGCGAGCGCGAAATCGAGCGGCGAAGCCGAAAGACGAGAAACTTTCTTGGCGCCTCTTCACCAGACTCCTTCCCGCTGGATAGCTTTGCTCTTCGCCACTCGAGCGTGTGACTCAAAGACGAGCCTGTTCACAGGCTATAACTGAACTTCAAATGCACTTTAATAAAAAAATAATGCTTTAGTCCAAATATGTCATTTATTGAATCAACCAGATCTGCTCTGCAGCCTTTTCACTGTGACTGTAATGTAACTAGAAATCTCACTACATTTGCCAGCTACTTTTTAAATGACAAGACAAGAAAGACAGTAACATACAAAACACATGTCTTAGAGAAAATGAAAATGACTGAAAAGAAAAGTTCATAATGTACAGTTGGTCTTAGGGTGCTCGATTCATTGAGTAGCAGTCTGCGAGCAGGCTCTTCGTGGGAAAAGGAAGTTGCCACGTGAAGAGCTTGCTTGTAGGCTATTAAGTATGCTCAAAGGCAAGTTCCAGGGACCCGTTTCTCGAAAGCCCCAGAAAGGTTTGAAATTTTGCTACGGCTTTCTGGGTGCAAACACTTTTCGGGACCTTCAAAATAACAGGCCCCTAAACTTTTTTTTTCCCTTTACATTCCAGCCTTAGGTACCTCGTAAATTAAATACACATTTACAGTTTTTCTTTCTATCACTACTTGTCTTTGCTGATTCCATATGTTTCCCTTATTTTTTCCAGTTCTTGTCTCTTCTTTTCCTTGTCCAATTTCTGGAAAGCCTGCAAAACAAAGATAGATACAAATATAAACTCATATTGAGACACAAGCCAAGCTAAGCCACTTTTAGGGCCAACAAGGTTGGGCTGCCTGTCTGGGTATATTTTGAGTTTGGTTGAGAAAGGTTTACAACAAGCACTAAACTCACAGAAGTTACAGTGTTACAGTGGAACCCCACAAATCCGGTCACCAGCAGACCACAAAATCTGACTGTATCAATGGGTTGACCGTATTTAAGAAGTTATTGAAATAACAAAATGATTGACTAAGCTTTTGTTCAGGCCAGAATAAAGTGGCCGTAATAATGAGGTGGCCGAAAGGCATGTCAAATGAAACAGTGGAAAGTGCTAATTTTGACACCAAGGAGTGGATTGGACTTGAAATGTGTCAGAGTCTGCAGAAAAGTGAAATGATATCAACCTAAAGTAGAGACACTATGAATCAAAGACAACATCACAAAAATCCACCATTTTCTAGGAGTATATAATTCAACTTTTCATAAAAAAATAATGTCAAGGCCAACATGAAACAGAATGCTTCCCCAACTGAGGAGGGATGTAAAATGCTGATACTGGCACTAAAGCTCCTGTAACCAAATCACGTTACCTTGGTGGACTGGTAATACATTATGACTAAAGCTCCTTTCAAACTACACTTTCACATCTTGGTGAACCAAGATATATAGGAAAGGTAAAGCTCCTGACTAACAAAATTTGCTTACCTTGGTGGACTGGTAGTACAGTACAACCAGGTATCGGTTACATACATTGAAGCCGGACAAGTGATCACAGGCATTTTTGGCATCAAAAATATCTTCATACACCACAAATGCTGTTCCTCTTGTTTCAGGTGCATTACCACTGTAACAAAGAGAAAATATACAGATTATCATACCATGGCTATACAAAATTTGAAATAATGATGACAACATAATTTAATGAAGCATCAATCATTCATAGCATAATCTACATGAATTGGTAATGATACAGATTATCACAATAAATTATAAATTAACAATAAAATGAATGAACTGTAAACATGAACATGTGAATCTGTACATGTATACTAATAAAATTTATAGTGGTGTCTGGTCTTTTTCTTTGTCTCATTGCCAGTTTCACTTATGACTTTAAAGCCTATATATAATCTGATGAGAACTAGATCATCGGAATGTTACCAGTTTCGCCCCATGGCGAGTTCGCCCCCACCGAGTTCGCCCCCACTATAAAATTCCTATTTTGAGTTCGCCCCCAACTTTTAGTGTTCGCATTTACGTAGTTGTTATCGAGTTATTAAACGTTTTCAAAGAACCATTTCAGTCTATGTATGTTTGACATGCTTAGATGATGATTGTTCGCTTGTTGCAGCCGGTGCGTGCATAGCAACAAGGTCAAATGGTTACCGGTCATCTCACCAGCAAGTGAAGTTTCCTTGCCACCAGTAATCTAAAAAGAAGTCAAAGAACAAACCAATCACAATCCCTGAGAACTAGCATTGTGATTAATGTGTTCTTCTACTTCTACATCTGACTCCAACAACCTAGTTCTCACTGAATCATAAGCAACAGAGTCGTTAGCAAAATCAGAAGAAATGGAAACATTTTGATTCTTCCAACTCCAATTCCATCAAGCTTATGATTCTGCTTATGATTCTGAGTTTTGATTTCCACTACAACTCAACCTCAGTCGCTAGTGAAAACCAGCCTTTTTGAAAAACTGACAGCATTAACTTACAGCCACTTTTTGTGGTGGTTGCTTATCAGAGATTCAATTGTAATTTATACTAAAATTTGATACCTGAAATAACACAGAAGTACTTACACCCTGATTTGTCTGATTCCTCCGTATTTACCAAATATGTCATACATTTCTTCCGTTGTTATCTTGTAGGGCAAATTCCTGAAATAAAACCACTCAATAATTAAGAAATAGAAACATTTACCCTGTTTCGATCCAGTTTTTGAGCTATGAGTGGAGGTTTGCGAGAACAAGAAATGCTGTACATACACTAAGGTACACGACCCATGCACAAGCGAGTGTTCTCTGCTGTAAAGAACAAGTGGTTTGAAAATCCTGTCAGCCACTGACAAAATCTTCAAACTCTGTAAAGTACGAAAAAGAAGTCATTCTCCTATAGAGTCACCGGAAGAAACTGAAGAAATATCACCGCTCAGAAGAGAACTGACTTACGCCACAAACTTCTCAATCGTATCTTCTGTCATTCTGATCACCATAAAGGAACTATTATTTAACGGCATGATTAATGTAAAAACTATGCAATATTAAGTCTCTCACCTCACATACAAAATTCTGTTGACCTCTGGAGGTAATCGGACCTAGAAAACACCAACAAAAGCTTGTGAAAACCTTGGAAACCGGCTCACTCACACGTACGAAGATGAAGACATACACCAAAAGCAATCCAACGATATATCAAGAAAATCCATGAAAAGAAAGTACAACACAAAACAGTATAAACTAGAGAAGGAGAAGGTTAGTTCTGATCAAGGCTAAGCCGTTCTACGTATGGAAGAAATCCCAAAACACGAACAAAAAAACAACTCACATTTGCTTTCCTTTGGTTTTGAAGCGCCATGATTTTCCCGTCGCAACACAATATCCGGGAACTTCTGTTGCGCTCAGAAAGACTTATGGGAAATGTTTCTCTCCCAAGCTTCGCGCTAGGTGGTCTGGGATAAAAATATTGGGGGTGAGATGGCGGCCGAGAACGGGTTGGATTTATCAGCATTTATCGTGGAAAAAGGCACTGAAGCAGAAGAGGGGAATACTGAGGAGGTCGCTGAGATTTCTCTGTCCCCTGATCTGGAAGCGGAAGAAGCCAGGAAAGAAGAGCTGCGTGAACAAGCTAAGAAGGTACGTAAGAATGTTCCAGGTTTATGAAAAAACTCCTGTGACGTGTCATGAGGTATAGACGTAAGCTTAGCTTATTTACATGCTCACTTGCTGTAGTTTACATGACTTGTTGATCTCAGACATGGCAAGTCAATTTAATGGTCTGTACAACTGCTGTTATAGAAACCACGATAAAAACTGTTTCAGTCTTTCACAATGCAAATAAAGCGTCCAGAAAATTAACGAGAGGTTCTAACTTAGAGCAATAGTCATCGATTTTTATAGAAAATGACGACAATGCGATTAAAAAATTAAAAAGAGAGACAGTTTGAAGTATTATTACTTTTTTATTACTGCTGATTTTAATTACCTCTATTGAAGTGCCGGTTAATTTAGCTTGGTTAATTTAGTTCTCTGAGTCAATTTAGTTCACAAAATAGATACAGACCACTCCGTTAAATTATGAATAGTCTCGATTGATTTATTGACTGCAGAGATGCCAACCTAAAAGAACTGTAATCTGGGAGATTCCCAATTTTACTTTCTTGACCCTGAAAAAAACATTGCTAACTGTAGAGCACCGCCAATTCAGCCACAAAAATATACCAAATATTCCAATAATTTCTCCTGAAAAGGCTAAAAATAAGTGCAAGAAAGGTATTTTAAGTGCTCTCCTTCATATCCAGGAGATGTAGTGACTCATACAGGAGACTGGTAGATTTGGGCTATATCCAGCAGACTTCTGGATAATCTAGGATAGTTGGCACACAGGGGTGCGGGGGAGGGGGCACTTCCACGTAAAAAGGATCGGGTGCTCGTCAGCAATTTTGAAAAGAACCCTTAAGAAGTACCAAGATCTTGTTTTGTGGGCATGGCTTGAAATTTTTTTCTCCTCTAGGAGGTACCAATGCTTACATAATACATTATCTCCTGTGGTATTTTTTTGGCTCAATACCGTAAATGGTACCGCAATAGCTCCTTCTGTGGACCTTTTGAGGCTAAACACCCCAAGAGGTACTAAAACTGCTTGAAGTCCCCCTCTTTGAGTCCCCGCTGCATAGATGCGATGGTTTGATATGTCGAGATATCATTCGTCTCTCAGGACACCTCACTCACCATGCCACACAGCAATTTCCCATAATTAGAGGGAAAGGCTGTTAATTAGTGAAATACCAGTCTAAGAAATAAAATAAAAAATGCATGCAAACGGCTGAAGGTTGGACCTTGCCAGGGCTTGACACTAACTTTTAGCACTACTTTCAATTATGGAAAGTAGATTTCAAATTTTACTTTCCATCTCAAAATTTTACTTTTCAAGATGGAGGCAGGAGGAGGAATCCAAAATGGTGGATTGAATTGTACCATACCACATGTATTTATCGTACCCAGACCTACTTAGCAGCTATCTCAATACTCCAATATGACAGATCAGTAAATGCTAGACTGGTGTAAACTTGTCCTTTTGAAGACAGAGGTTCATTGTCGGATCCGGTTATTTTTATCATTTGATTATTTTTTATACATTCGCTTTGCCTAAACATTACTTTTCCAACATAGCCCAAAATTTCTCACCAGATCATGTAAGTATTTTGGTTCATTTTTGATTTTTTTTCTTTCCTAGAAGTAAATATACTTTCCAATGGAAAGTGGGTAGGTGTTAGTGTTGAGCCCTGCCTTGCTAGCAGAGATTATCAGTTATTTAGTTTTCATGATGTTGTATTTTTGCTTCTGCAGATTGAAGAAGAAATTGTCACTCTAAAGCAAGCTCTTGATCGAAAAGAGAAACAGTTAGCTGAAATCAAACGGCTGTTAGGTATCACAGCATGGACACAGATAAGAGATGGATTTCACCACCAATATCAAAACCTACAAGGAACTCAGATGTAAGCTTTGAACACATTTACTACTTGACAAAAGTGCTACAAGAAACAGTTGCAAACATTATTTTGTAAAATCATGGCATAAATTAGATAATTACTTGCAATCATGAGATGAGCTGAAATTAGGATGCATAACTACATGTTGTCTGCATCCTTTATTGTCTGTCTCTATTTGTCCATACATTAACAGGTATCAGAAGACAGCTGACACGTTTAAAGATTTGAATGACAAAATTACTCACTCTCAAGCGTAAGTGTTGTTAAACTATATTACTTACACTGGCTAGATTTCTTTTCAATGTCTTTTTTGATCCCCCAAAAAAGTCACAATCCCAAATCCTATATTAGATTAAGCCTTTACTAACGAAGCTTATCATTGGCATTTCTCTGTGATTATATGGAGCTAAAACAGTCACAATTTGTGACTAATAAATTCTTGCAATTTATTGTGAACATATTTATTAAAAAGACTTGTTGGGCACACAGTGAAACAAAATGTTAAATATGTGAAATATTGAGATGGTGCAGTTTGGTCTCCTCTGTATTTCAGGTATAACAAACTAAGTAGTGGTGCTTCTGCTACTAAATCAGTACTAAGTGGTGCGGGATCCAAAACAGCAACCGCTGCAAAAAATGTTGGATCGGCAACAGCCAAGAAACTAGGAGAAATTAGGTATCGTATAGAATTTTAATACATCTGCTTTAATATCTTATACAATTCTTTGAAGCATTTGAATACATCAATTTTTTATGTCTTGTACTCTTGCACGTAATTTGTTATTATTATGATTGTTTTTTGCAAGTATTTGTTTTCACAAGATGTAGAGCAATTGCATTTAGAAACTCCAGGTTAATGAGAGACTCTGAAACCACTCCTATTTTTTTTAACATTTGTGTATTCATGTTGATGTGTTATCCTAGTTTTTGTTTTGTTTATTTTATGTGTAGAGTGTACGTTTGATGAAACAAGCTTAAGGAATAAAATGCAAAATATTGATTGCAGGACACATTTACCAGCTATAATTATATGTTTCCATTTTTTATTACATACTTATGTGTCAGATGTTAAAACTAATGGAAACACCATTCTCCAGCATCTGTTCATGAATATACTTGCCTTGCATATTTCTATCAAAGTGAACTGAAAAGTCCTTTCTTGTTGTGTTAGGGGATCATCTATGTTTCAATCTTTGGAAAGTAAAGTTGTATCTGCCTCTTCAACTCTTAAGGTAAGCAATGTTTGTTCTTGACAATATTATTATTACAGGTGCCACAATGTTTTAGAGATCAAACCTTAGTGTGTGCCCATTCAACTGAAAGCTTTTCAGCAATCAAGTGCATGACCATTCTGGAAGCTACTATTTTCAAACATGGCTTGATCTAGTGTACTGTACAAGGTTGTTTTACATGTATGTACATGTAACTTGTAGGTTTGTGGTTGGTACTCCAGTGTGTGTGACCATACAAATGTAAATGAATGCTATTGAGAAGTAGAAGATGTAATATATCAAACACAAGAGACAGTGTTTCATCGGGATATCCAAACACGGAGAAGAGAGTTGAAAATACGATGCGCAGCAGAGTATTTTTGACGAAATTTGAGGTTTTTGGATAGCCGATGAAACACCGTCTCAAGTGTTTGATATATCTTCTCAATCGAAACAAAAACTAAGGAGTAAACAGAGACGTAAAATCGTCAATATCTATGCTAATTAAGACTGGGTATCCAAACCTCCTTCATGGTTGTGATTTTCTTTGTTTTAACTTGATGAATTGGTAATGAGTTTGAGAAATTTTAAGCAAACTCAATCCTTTTTGGAGTGAAGTGATGAAAATTGACAATAAAGTTGACAGTTACTTGTGATAATACATTGTTCTTGGCTAGTCTTACACAGCTTGTTTCGTCCTGGCCAAGGGACTCATCAGAGACCTTTTTGCTAGGCGAACTTGTTGGGCATCGCACCCAAAGTCCCATTCACTAACAAAATGATGACAGCAATCTCACCTTATATCGTATAAGGATTAATTATTGGACCACACAAATTCACAAGTGGAAATTGACAATAAAGTTGACAGTTACTGGTGATAAAAACAGTGATGAAACCATTGTATAATTTAGTGATGAGGATAATATTGTGCTTGAATGCTTCAAACATGTAGCAGGGCTCAAAGTTTATNGCATATTGCTTTGCTAGGAAATTCTTTATTGAAACACTGATCTCTACCGGCTTATTATCAATCCAAGTAACTCTGCAGCAATTCTATTGCTTAAGAATACAAATAATTATTTCAATCCTGAGCCAAAAGTTGATACCCCATTTCAGACCACCACTCTAATATATGACAGCAGTTCAACAGAATTCGCTGCCATTTACATGAACACTTGAGACTTAAGGGCTAGTGAAATTTGCCAGTGTTGATGCTGTAAAAATTGTCAGTAGTTCCTTGTAAACAAAATACCCAGTGCAAATTCAGAGTGAAAAACATACCCACACATAAATAGTTCATAACTAAAGGGACACTGTCAACATTTTTAGCATGATTTTGGAAATCTCAAAAACATATATTGATCATTGAGCATCGGGATGTCAGTTTTTCAAAGGTTCAAGTTTGGCTCAAAAAACCTTTGAAATTTTGAAAAAATGTTGCAGTGTAGACTTCCTTCAAGAAATTGTTTTTAATCATTAAGTTAGAGCCAATTAAGTTCTTGTTACATAAATTTAGGGACCATTTCATGAATTTATAACAGTTTTAAGCATATATATCGTGGCAGTGTCCCTTTAAGGGATCAAATTTCCAGGTAATCTAAGGTTACATTATGAGCTTAAAAAGTTTGAGATTAAACAAAAAAGTAGCAACTTATAAATACCCCATATATATGGACTATATAGATAATTTTGCAAAAAATATATGAAAGTGAGCGATTATCAGATAGCACTTGGTTTTACCTCCTGTTTTATAGTGCTTTTTGCCAAATCATCAAGTCTTACTTTTCAAGTTTGATGTAATTTTTAGTTTTAAATCACCAACAATATATTTCTTATCATTCTTTTTGACACTTCCTTTTTAAACACCTTTACAACCAAAAATTTAGATGGTGAATGGAAAGTGTCATGTTACTGACCGGTCTTTTTTTAAACATGCATACACTAACAAAAAATTCTTAATTATTCACAAATGCCTGTTGGGTCCAGCCAGTCAGACACTGACCCAATGCTCTTTGAGCTTGAATTCATTCGAATACCGGGTATTGCATGTTTGAGGTGAAGAGTGAAATCAAATTTCGTTAACAAATTCATCGCCCCATTTTTATACTTACAATACATGCAGCCATATTTTAGTTCAGTGCAGTCAGTTTCATTTTACCCTTTGTATAGCTATTTATAGAGTTGTTTTATTGTACAATTCTATGACAGCTGACTTCTGCTATTCATTTGTATCATTCTAATAAAAGATCAGATAAGGTCTTCTGACCCTGTACTCAGGTTACTAGAAAATCCAAAATAATTAAATATGCATGATACAACTGAATATATATGTTATATCATTTGTAGCCTGTGCATCAGTTCTTTATTATGCAGTCTTTTTACCAAGACAGTTCTCCAGGACAGTACTTGGCTATCAGTTCTTCATAGTATGGTGACACAGCCTCAACATCTGGCACACTATCAGACTTGGAGTAGAGGTCAAATTTGCTGNAAATTGAAACAAATCTCTAAATTCAATTTGCAAAATATTTTAGCACAAACAAGATAACATGAAAGACAAGAGCCTTTACAAAGACATGATTGATCATCGCAGTTATACGCAGTTAGTTAGACATTCACACATTAGACACCATAACAAACAGTTCTGCAATAAAGCACTGCTTATTATAGCTTTCTTTTGCATATGCACTGACAAGGGAAGTAGAATAAGGGGACAATAAACACCCAAGTAAACAGATCAAAAATAAAGAACTGTCATACCATCATGTCCCCAAGACATTGTGACTTTGTCAAGGCCACAGTTTGGTTCATAGATGCCATATTTTGAGCTGCAAAATGTATAAGAAATAACAAATATAACTGAAATGAGAATTCACCTGTTAGATCCCAAAGTTGAGGCTGATACAATGTAAATAGAAGTGCACCAACTGTGCTCAAAAGGGAGGGGAATGAGTAACAAGAACATCCAGGGTTTTCATTAATGATGGTTTCAGCAGGATTTGGTGACTGGTTTTCACAGGCAGGTAAAACTTTGAACTGAACTTCTTTATAAAGTAATCTTTCCTCTAGATAGTCAAACCCGGCAGGAAAATCACCCTCACAGCCAGTCAGTTTGAACAATGCCTGGCCCTTATTGAAACCCCTCGTACATGTGCATCATTTAATCAAATGTCTGGGTAAAAAAGGTAAAGTCTGCAAATGAGCCAAGGGGCTGATCAGGCTGGAGCTTCTCCTGGTTTTTGTAGCATGAAGTGACTAGCAATATTTATACTCCACCTGGATGGGATGCTGGATTAACCCCAGCATTAAATTCGCTGGTACCCAGTTGTACACCTGGGTGGAGAGAGGCACTTTGAGAGTAAAAGTGTCTTGCCCATATACACAACACAATGTCCCTGGCCAGAGCTCGAGCCCAGACTGCTCAATCTGGAGTCGAGCTCACTTACAATAAGGCCACTGCATATCCAAAAAAACAAATGTCTGACATACCTGTATTCTGGAACTTTTGTGTCTGGATTGTTTTTAAATGTCTCATGGAAGACTATATGTTCTGAAAACTTGCAGCCAAGAGGAAAAGAGTCTCCCACAACACAGTATTGAGGTTCTCCCCACAAAGCCATGACTTTTCCTAGGTCATGAAGAAGACCTGTCAAGTGGAACCAGTCTTTGTCTGGATGGACAGAACGGATACGTTCTGCTGTTTGAAAGGCATGTACTGAATTTGGTAGGTCTGTGTCTGGGTCACTTTCATCTACCAAAGCATCCAAGAGATGCACTGCTTCCATGATTGTCATTTTATGACTGTCTAGACGGCTCCATTTCTCTGTCTAGAAAATAAGAATATTGAAAGTCATTATGAATGAATGACATGCATAAACTCTGATAAGACTAATACTATATTGGCCACTTAATTAATTAACACACAATAATGGTAAAGAAACTTCCTCTAAGTGACAGGTAGCCCAAGCTTAAGCTGTGAGATAATTATCTTGCACAATACCTGAGTCAAGGCAAAAATTGCAATAGTTAGGCCTTTTAACATTCAAACACTTTGCGACATTTCTCCTTCCTGAGACTTAAAATTGTAAATATTCTAATACAATTCTTGAATTTTTGACGTGACTGCTGTTACATAGGATGATCATCTCACAGTTTCAGCTTGGGCCAGCTGTGCCTGAGTATGAATCACTATATGTATGTATGTTGATACCCAAGAGCCAGTATATACCAACCTGACAATGTTTGAAACACAATATCTCACCTTTCACATGAATCTAACAAACCACAGATTTTGTTCTTACCAGTAATTGCTTTTTCANCAATTTTGAAAAGAACCCTTAAGAAGTACCAAGATCTTGTTTTGTGGGCATGGCTTGAAATTTTTTTCTCCTCTAGGAGGTACCAATGCTTACATAATACATTATCTCCTGTGGTATTTTTTTGGCTCAATACCGTAAATGGTACCGCAATAGCTCCTTCTGTGGACCTTTTGAGGCTAAACACCCCAAGAGGTACTAAAACTGCTTGAAGTCCCCCTCTTTGAGTCCCCGCTGCATAGATGCGATGGTTTGATATGTCGAGATATCATTCGTCTCTCAGGACACCTCACTCACCATGCCACACAGCAATTTCCCATAATTAGAGGGAAAGGCTGTTAATTAGTGAAATACCAGTCTAAGAAATAAAATAAAAAATGCATGCAAACGGCTGAAGGTTGGACCTTGCCAGGGCTTGACACTAACTTTTAGCACTACTTTCAATTATGGAAAGTAGATTTCAAATTTTACTTTCCATCTCAAAATTTTACTTTTCAAGATGGAGGCAGGAGGAGGAATCCAAAATGGTGGATTGAATTGTACCATACCACATGTATTTATCGTACCCAGACCTACTTAGCAGCTATCTCAATACTCCAATATGACAGATCAGTAAATGCTAGACTGGTGTAAACTTGTCCTTTTGAAGACAGAGGTTCATTGTCGGATCCGGTTATTTTTATCATTTGATTATTTTTTATACATTCGCTTTGCCTAAACATTACTTTTCCAACATAGCCCAAAATTTCTCACCAGATCATGTAAGTATTTTGGTTCATTTTTGATTTTTTTTCTTTCCTAGAAGTAAATATACTTTCCAATGGAAAGTGGGTAGGTGTTAGTGTTGAGCCCTGCCTTGCTAGCAGAGATTATCAGTTATTTAGTTTTCATGATGTTGTATTTTTGCTTCTGCAGATTGAAGAAGAAATTGTCACTCTAAAGCAAGCTCTTGATCGAAAAGAGAAACAGTTAGCTGAAATCAAACGGCTGTTAGGTATCACAGCATGGACACAGATAAGAGATGGATTTCACCACCAATATCAAAACCTACAAGGAACTCAGATGTAAGCTTTGAACACATTTACTACTTGACAAAAGTGCTACAAGAAACAGTTGCAAACATTATTTTGTAAAATCATGGCATAAATTAGATAATTACTTGCAATCATGAGATGAGCTGAAATTAGGATGCATAACTACATGTTGTCTGCATCCTTTATTGTCTGTCTCTATTTGTCCATACATTAACAGGTATCAGAAGACAGCTGACACGTTTAAAGATTTGAATGACAAAATTACTCACTCTCAAGCGTAAGTGTTGTTAAACTATATTACTTACACTGGCTAGATTTCTTTTCAATGTCTTTTTTGATCCCCCAAAAAAGTCACAATCCCAAATCCTATATTAGATTAAGCCTTTACTAACGAAGCTTATCATTGGCATTTCTCTGTGATTATATGGAGCTAAAACAGTCACAATTTGTGACTAATAAATTCTTGCAATTTATTGTGAACATATTTATTAAAAAGACTTGTTGGGCACACAGTGAAACAAAATGTTAAATATGTGAAATATTGAGATGGTGCAGTTTGGTCTCCTCTGTATTTCAGGTATAACAAACTAAGTAGTGGTGCTTCTGCTACTAAATCAGTACTAAGTGGTGCGGGATCCAAAACAGCAACCGCTGCAAAAAATGTTGGATCGGCAACAGCCAAGAAACTAGGAGAAATTAGGTATCGTATAGAATTTTAATACATCTGCTTTAATATCTTATACAATTCTTTGAAGCATTTGAATACATCAATTTTTTATGTCTTGTACTCTTGCACGTAATTTGTTATTATTATGATTGTTTTTTGCAAGTATTTGTTTTCACAAGATGTAGAGCAATTGCATTTAGAAACTCCAGGTTAATGAGAGACTCTGAAACCACTCCTATTTTTTTTAACATTTGTGTATTCATGTTGATGTGTTATCCTAGTTTTTGTTTTGTTTATTTTATGTGTAGAGTGTACGTTTGATGAAACAAGCTTAAGGAATAAAATGCAAAATATTGATTGCAGGACACATTTACCAGCTATAATTATATGTTTCCATTTTTTATTACATACTTATGTGTCAGATGTTAAAACTAATGGAAACACCATTCTCCAGCATCTGTTCATGAATATACTTGCCTTGCATATTTCTATCAAAGTGAACTGAAAAGTCCTTTCTTGTTGTGTTAGGGGATCATCTATGTTTCAATCTTTGGAAAGTAAAGTTGTATCTGCCTCTTCAACTCTTAAGGTAAGCAATGTTTGTTCTTGACAATATTATTATTACAGGTGCCACAATGTTTTAGAGATCAAACCTTAGTGTGTGCCCATTCAACTGAAAGCTTTTCAGCAATCAAGTGCATGACCATTCTGGAAGCTACTATTTTCAAACATGGCTTGATCTAGTGTACTGTACAAGGTTGTTTTACATGTATGTACATGTAACTTGTAGGTTTGTGGTTGGTACTCCAGTGTGTGTGACCATACAAATGTAAATGAATGCTATTGAGAAGTAGAAGATGTAATATATCAAACACAAGAGACAGTGTTTCATCGGGATATCCAAACACGGAGAAGAGAGTTGAAAATACGATGCGCAGCAGAGTATTTTTGACGAAATTTGAGGTTTTTGGATAGCCGATGAAACACCGTCTCAAGTGTTTGATATATCTTCTCAATCGAAACAAAAACTAAGGAGTAAACAGAGACGTAAAATCGTCAATATCTATGCTAATTAAGACTGGGTATCCAAACCTCCTTCATGGTTGTGATTTTCTTTGTTTTAACTTGATGAATTGGTAATGAGTTTGAGAAATTTTAAGCAAACTCAATCCTTTTTGGAGTGAAGTGATGAAAATTGACAATAAAGTTGACAGTTACTTGTGATAATACATTGTTCTTGGCTAGTCTTACACAGCTTGTTTCGTCCTGGCCAAGGGACTCATCAGAGACCTTTTTGCTAGGCGAACTTGTTGGGCATCGCACCCAAAGTCCCATTCACTAACAAAATGATGACAGCAATCTCACCTTATATCGTATAAGGATTAATTATTGGACCACACAAATTCACAAGTGGAAATTGACAATAAAGTTGACAGTTACTGGTGATAAAAACAGTGATGAAACCATTGTATAATTTAGTGATGAGGATAATATTGTGCTTGAATGCTTCAAACATGTAGCAGGGCTCAAAGTTTATTTTTGGCTTTGGGAGCGCTTGTGCGACCAGGTGTAAATTTTTACGCGCACTGCTGAAATTTTGGGCACAGAGTTAAAAATTTTAGGCGCACAGCTTCAAATACTGGGAGCACCTACTCCAAAAGAATACTTGACGTTCCAAAAAGAGCGACTCAGGCTTCGTGTTGCCAACTGGGCCTATTCTAGCAGTATTGAACACAACAAAAACAAATAAAAGAATCAGGATATTTCACACAAGAGTTAAGCTTAGATATTAACTTCTGAAGTCGCTTCGTTGAGTATCCTCACTATTCAGTTGCTTGTTGTATGCCTCACCTTTCAAATTCTGTTCATGAAGATTCTTCAACATCTGGGTATTCGTGAGAACTAGCTCGAACTCTGCACATTTGTATGTCAGGCAAGTGAAAACAAAGCTTTCTGTAACTGTTGTTCGTGAAGAACGAGCATACGATTTAATCTCATCCCCAGTTTCCACGCTTTCCGCTGGGACCACCTGGCACTATGATCCCCATCTGGTGACCAAGAAGCACATGCTTCATTCTTTCATTTGCATGTGTCAGCGGAGTTGTTTACAACACAGAATGTTGGGAAGAAATGAATGTTCGAGTTCAGAGAATCCACTAGGAAATTAGGCTTAAAGACGACGAATAGAACACACACCAATGAAAGGAAAATGGTGCAACTTTATTATTTGATGCCTGGTTGTGTTATATCTATGTTTATATTTATATTTATCAATCACAGTACGTTAGTATGGTCAGGTGAGTAAGCACTAGAGAAGTTGCACTGTACTTTGGCTTTTAAGGCACGGTGGTGCGACCACACATGATTTTTGAGGCACACAGCCAAAAATCTAGTTGCAAATGCGACCAGCTGGTCATTAACTTTGAGCCCTGTGTAGAAAAGAAATTTGACTTCTGAAATGCATGGGCCAGTACTGGGCAGTTCTTTGCTATTGACATCCGTAAGAATTCTTCAGTCATTCAGACTGGTATTGCTGTTACCATAAGATTGTAATTAATATTGTTCTCAAAAGTTGTTTAATAATGTGTATAATTACTGATTTTGCACTGACATTTTCCAGAAAAAAAATATGTGAACATAACAGAGTGCACATATATTTTTGCTGATTACTTTTTTTTACTTGTATTATGTTTGTACATCATTGCTTTCACATAACAGCATAGCTCCAGAATTTTTCTCTGAAGATATTTGGAATTGTAATAGTACTGAGAGAACAACTTATTGCAACTGTTATATAATCTATTTTGTTCTGGCAGTTTCTATAAGTCGTTTTAACTGTTATTGTTGAGGGAAGGGATCTAGACTTTACCTGAAAGAGTTTTCCAGAAGTATCTGCAGAATGCTTTGCCAGTTATGGATATCATATTATAAAATATTGATTTAATGCCTAAAGCCTTAGATGTGTACAATAGAAACATCAAAGTTTTCTGCTAGTAAGTCATGCTCGGTGGTAAAGTAACTTTCTTACCAACTGTGAAATAAATATCAAACATGAATAACCTTGAAAGTGTAAACAATGATATTTTACAGCAGTTCTACTGCAAAGATACATGTATGTTTAAAACCAGTTTGATTTTCATTCTCTTAGTCCTTTGTTTCTTACTTGTGATCATAATGTGAGACAGGGAAATGAAATGCAAACCAGATTGAAAAACTGTAGATCATGGTAACATTTTTTTGTCATGTGTTATACATTCTCTGCATTCTGTTTCTAGTAATCTGTTTTGCTTCTAACACCTTGCAGTAAAAGTATATTGCCAGACGGAAGTAAAAATAAATTAAATATTACAAATATTTATATGTAGCATAAATTTATCATTGTTAATATGAAGCAGCTTTTGCTTACATCATTGGTTAGCTTTCTTGTTTATTTCCATAGTCACTTTTTCATTATCCTCACAAATTAAAGTTGCAAGTTATCTTACATGACTTCACAGAAGCATTAAAGAACAAAAGAATTGAAGAGAACTCCCCTTGCTGATGCTGTCTAACAATAATATTAACTCTAATATTGCTCTCTCACTATAGTTTAAGATGCTTGGAAGCTCAAACAAGGGTCAATTAACCACAAGCCAACCTGCCTCTTCACCTGATAATGACATCAATATGTCATAAGGACAATCATATCATAGTTTAATCAATAGTCAGCGTGGCTTGCTTTTGTACTAAAATATTGTACATTGTGAAATAACTGCTATTTAAATGGTTGGTTTGAGAAGAAGTTACATTGCATAAATTAGACACCAGTAAGAGCAATGCTAAGAACAAAACTGACTTAATCAAGGGATATTTACAACATGTGCATTTGCTAAGATGGGAAAATGTGAGAATTGAAATAAGGCTCAGAGTCTGAAGACAAAACACAAAGTGCATTCTGCAATGTTTATATTTGATATCTATGACAATATTTAATAAATGGGAAACATCTCCTATTTTTGAAATCTAAATGCAAATACAGTGTTATAGACAAGTTATTGCTGTCATTAGGTTTCATGTTGTATGCAGGACTCATTGAGGTGTTTTCTGTTACTGTCAAGATATGACCCACAGAAACACTATTCTCTTTCTGTAGAGTTATAGAGAGACAGCTAACTA